AGATGTGTATAAGAGACAGCTCTCTCTCTTTCTTTTGTGCTGCATAAATAATAAATTAATTTAAAAATAAATAAAATAAATAAGTTTATTTATCAATTTATTTTTCAATAATGTACAAAAATTATGCACAAATTGTAACACTGCTTTACATTGTTACTAATGTAACAATGACCAAACGTATACTTATTTTTCAATTATTATTTAAGTTAATAATAAAAAAGTTACAAATATTTTAAATCTTAATATTAAATCCATGTCTACATCAAAAATACATATTCTTGAATATTTATAAAGTTAACAGTGCAATTTTTTATCATGGAAACATAAACAATGGACATAACACAAATATATTGGAAACTAAAGGTACAAAATGGATATCCGTAAATAATTTAAAAGTTGAGTCATGTCAATTACCTTGAAATGTTAAGAGTGCATATATATTTTTCTTAGAACAAATAAATGAATAAAAAAATTAAAATTATATTAAAATTGAGAGAAAGTATATTAAATTAAAATAACAATTTTATAAATAATAATGTTTATTTTTAGAAGATTTAAGTTCTATTATAATTTAGCAAAAAGCAGTATGAGATTTCATAAAAAATCTTATTAAAAAAGGAAAAAAATATAGGCCAAAAATATACGCCGGTGACATTTTTTATGTATTTGGTGTATATTTTTTCTGTTTTTAAAAATATTTTTTATGGGATTAAAAAAATATATATGTATACATATACATATATTTTTCTAATATACATATAATAATAATAAAGATAATTTTTTAAATATATTTTTTAGTATACCAAAAAATATATTAAAAAATAAATTTAAAAAATTGTATTTAAAACAAATATGTGTATATTTAGTAATGTAAATTAAAATTTGTAAACAAATATAATTTAATAGCTGAGAAAACTAATAAAAATTTCTCTCTCTCTCTCTCTCTGTTTTTTTGCATGTGTATTGCAATTAAAACTTAGTAATTTGTCATAGTTAATTAATTATATTATATTGTTTTTTTTAGAAAAACGGATGCTAATAATAGAATAAATAGAAAAACGATTGCTAATAATGATACGAACAGGATTATTTCGTCATGTAAACCTGAATAATTATTTTGCAACTCGTCACTTGTTTCCTAAACGCTTGAAACACATTAGTACAGGTAAATACGTTTAACTAAAATGTTAATTTTTAATTATGTACAGAATGTTCTAAATTTTAATGCCAAATGTATGTATATGAATAAAAAAAATGGGTATATAAATTTATAATGGGTATATAAATATATAAGGTTATGTTGGAGTGAAATTCAAAGTATTTCTCCCGCAAGACAATGCGCGTTATGTGTGCGCGTGTGCCGTCGCACTGCTAATTTTGCTTGTTTATACATTCCACGGGAATGGCTCTTCGGTTGATTGGCTTATCGATTTTCTTTGTACCTTACTTATATTATATTCATCATGATTGTTCTGTAATCGGTCCCTCTGTCTCACTCTTGTATCCGCACTCCATAAGTACATTACGTGCGTTCAAGTCGATCTCTTTATACTCCACGTTGTAAAATATATCTTGAATAAAACTATATATATCTTGCATTGAATATCGAAATAAACTTATATTCAAGTCCAACAGGTTATAGACCTAAACTACGAATGAGTGCAAGTCGTGAGTGCGTGTGCCGAAACTAAGTTTCCATGGGCTATATGATATCGGACATAAGACCTCGTTACCAAATTATTTCGTACTCGAACCAGGGACAATGGCGGCAGGTGCAACTGTTACAACGCGTATCGAGGTCCTAACGAAAGAGAATTATGACACATGGAAAATGCAGGTTAAGGTCCTGCTTACGAAGAACGACCTGTGGGAATACGTGAGCGGCGATACCGTACTCCCTCTCCCTGGCAAGGGCGATCCAGCGACGGTTCAAGCGGCCGAAGCAACACGTGCTGCGTTTAGGAAGAACGATAAGAAGGCGAAATCTGATTTAATTTTATCGATTCATCCATCGGAACTCCCGCAAATACGTGGCTGTGAGACCTCGCGTGAGGTATGGCTCAAACTCGAATCCATATATGCTTCGAAGGATGCTTCCCCCGCGAGGAAGGCTGCGCTCCTGAAACAGCTCATGCTACAGCGTTTACAAGAAGAAGGTGATGTACGAGCGCATATGGCGTATTTTTTTGAGGCTGTTGACAAGTTAGCGGCCATGGATGTTGAGATTAATGGTGACCTTTTGTCTATAATGTTATTGTATAGTCTACCGGCTAGTTAGATAATTTCAGAGTAGCTATAGAGTCACGTGATGAGCTTCCTACATCCGAAGCTTTGAAGGTCAAGATTCTCGAGGAGAATGAAGTTCGGCGTCAGGCGAGTGTGGTCGAAGCCGCGAGTGCTCTCGCATTGAATCGAGGTGGTGGCAACGACAGGAGGCGTCCCAAAAGACGCAAAAATAAATTCGTTGGCAGTGAAACAAGGTCCGAGACCCAACAGAAGATACATTACTATACGTGTGGATTCCTTGGCCACACATCACCCGATTGTTCTGAGAAGAAATCGCAACAGCCGCGTGACAAACCGAAGCAGTCGGCGAACGCCGTGGATGATTCCTATGCCGTGTGCTCAATGGCGGCTCCCGATATGAGTACGTCGATGTTAGCATCCGAATTATCATCGTTGCGCCCGTGGATACTACACAGCGGGTGCGCATCACATCTATGTGGTGACGAGAGTAGTTTCGAGATATTGCAAAAATCGTCTGGCGGAAAATTAAAGCTGGCCAGTCAAACCACGACTGAGGTCAAGGGCAAGGGAACGGTGAAGATGTCAGTGGAAAACGATATGTCGTCGAAGCGGATCGGGTTCAATAACACCCCTGCCGAAAATGTTCGATTAAAACCGATTATAAAAAAAGTTTTCCGAATCGATCGGGATTTCTGCACCAAAAATACGGTATCAAAAAAGATTAAAATTATTCAAATCGGATATAAATCACTTTAGATTAGTATCACGGATTAGTATCACGTGATAGGAATCTATGTTAATCCAAACTTCGATGATTGCTCGTACAAAAAAAGCAATTGGTCGATCCAAAATTTACTGATTGATATATGAATATATCATGTCAAAATTAATTATATAGTTCAACTAACAATAAAATTTCATATACAGGGTGTCTCGTACTCAATGGTACAGCGCTTGTGGGGAGGTAGTGTGGACCAAACTGAACAAAAAAGTCCTCTACCATTTTGCGATCTTCGCAATAGTTTTCGAGATATTAATATATAAAGCTCGTCGAATCTGAACGCGCGGCGCGATACGGGGGTAATCCATTGCCGTGCGCTTGACAATCAGTTACCCCCACCACGCGCCGCCCACTAGGGTAAGTGTCCCTATTAGTGTGCCTGTCCCTATTAGTGTGCTTTTATATTTAAATAAATAATAAAAATAAACTGGTACAAATAAATAAACAAAGTATTTTTTTTAAATAAGTTAAAGTATTAACGTGTATAATACCAAAGATTATATTCAATTTTTTAACTCTTAAAGTATAATAAATATTTTTTAAATGGTGCATACCACAATTTAGAGGAATTAACTCGAATGTCTTAGCAAAAACGATAAGAAACGCTTACTCAATTAAAGTGAATAAATTGATTATTAACATTATTTACATCATGTGAAATGTAAATTATATCATAAATTGGTTTAATTTAATAAAATAGTAAAGTACATAAGTACTTTATAAATGTTTTATGTTATTTATTATATGCGTCCAGTAATACCGCAAGATTTTAAGGCTTGTCCCTATTAGTGTGCTCTCCTGTTTTCACTGTCAGCCGGCTGACTCGGCTAACCCATAACCTAATGTGAAATGGTCGTGATGTGACACGCATTATTGAAATTGTAAACCGCGTGAATCTCTTTGGATGTGACAGTGCATTGTACACATTGAAATTGTAAGTATATCGAACTAAAATGATTAATGCAATATTAGCTTAGCTTACATCTATTATCTGTTTCAGTAATTACGTTAAAATGAACAGCAAGTATAAGCGTATAGTATATGATAAAGAGGTGATGGATAAAGCTATAGAAGCAGTAAAATCAGGAACACCGATAAATACTGCCAGCAAATTATATAAGGTTCCACGATCATCTCTTCATAGCAAGATTATAAAAAAATATAATCATGAAAAGACTGGACCAGGTACCGTATTAACTTCGGAAGAAGAAAATAATCTTGTGCAGTGGATTCTCCATATGTGTTCTGTTGGCTGTCCAGTAAATAAAGATCATTTAATCAATAGTGTGGCGGTATTAATAAAAAAATTAAATAAACAGACTCCTTTCATTGATGGACGACCAGGTCGTCACTGGTACGAAGGCTTCCTTCGTCGACATCCACTGCTGAGAAAGAGAATTAGTGAGAATGTTTCGCTCTCTAGAGCCTTAGTTAGTGAAGAGTCTGTTAGAAAGTGGTTTAAAGATGTTGGATATTATTTAAAAGAAAAGAATCTTGAAAATATTGATAGTTCCAGAATTTTTAATACAGACGAAACAGCTTTGTTATTGAATCCTAAAGCAGGCTCTGTGTTGGCAAGAAAAGGATCTAAAAATGTTTACAACATAGTAAATAACAATGAAAAAGAAAATCTGACAGTATTAATTACCGGCAATGCTGCAGGTCAGTTGGCTCCAACGTTGGTTGTGTTTAATTACAAGCGAGTACCTAATCCTATTTATAGTACTCTACCACAAGAATTTCATGTTGGCAAATCCGAAAAGGGATGGATGACTGCAATGCTCTTTTATGAATATATAGCTAATAAATTTTTGCCTTGGATTGTTGCAAATAATATCCAGTTACCAGTAATTTTATTTTTGGATGGTCACGTATCCCATCTAACACAACCATTAAGTGAATTCTGCCACACACATCAAATAGTATTAATAAATTTACCACCTAACACAACCCATTTTATGCAACCAATGGATGTTAGTATGTTCTCGCCATTAAAAGACTATTGGAAGAAAGAAGTAAATAATTACAGGATAGAAAAAGAAGTTCTGAGTGTTAGTAAAAAAGATTTTGCACCTTTACTGGAAAAAGTTTTCAATAATATGGATCTTGGAAAAATTTTATCAAATGGTTTTCAAATTTGTGGTTTGCATCCATTCTCTGTTGAAGCAGTAGATTTTACAAAAGTTTTTATTCGATCTAAGAACCAGCCAAATACTGAAACCACTTCAAAAAATGATTTAACAACTCAATTAGTACTCGTCCAATCTATTCAAAAATATATTGACCAATCAACGCTGGAAACATTCAGATCCTGTAAAAATGTGGAAAAATGGGCGGGACCAACTGAAGACAAAAATCTTTTTTATCTCTGGCAAAAAATATTAAATGATTATGATCAGATTGTCGCTGAATGTAATTCTAAGGTCAATGTAAGTAATAAAATTATCATTTAATCCTCTAGATTTTTAATTTTCTCTTTCTTATGTAAATAATAATTGGTAAACAAAAGTCTGTTACAATAAAATTTGATTAATATTGCTGTCAAATAGTAATAAATAAATTTGTTTTTAGATTTTTAAACGGTTACGTTGTTTTCATGAAATTTTATATTGCTTAAATAGGTTATATTTTTCATATAATTACTAATTTTAATTACTTGTAACCTTTTAATTACTACAAATATAATTATTTAAGAGGTAGTAAAATTTCTAAAAATTGTTTTTTTAAAAAGTTACATTGGAGAAAGGTTGATATATCAAATGTTATTAATCGTTAATTTTGATGTAAATATTTAAAATTTGTTTTATATAGCAGAATGAGATGTCTGTGGAATCAGAACAAGTAAACGATGAAGCTGATATTTCTCAAAGTAAACCATACTCACAAATTATGGATAGTGAGGCAAATGTACAGCCGCTGAATGAAATTCTACATGCAGAAGATTCGAATGCAAAAGTAAATTAGAAATTAGTTTTTAAATTGCATAAGAGTATATTGTAAATTTATTACAATTTTTTATTTTCAATTTTTTTTACTTAATTTATAATAAATATACACATGTATACAAAGTAACATAATAAAACATGATCTGTAGTATTATTTACAAATAAATAAGTTTTCTTACAGATGGTTATCTTGCAAGATAATGATCAGAAGAAGTAAATTCTAATATTATTTGTACTTTTTACATGGATGATGACGGAAATGTTAAACTTGAAGAGGACTTTTCACAATTATTACAAGATCGGGTTATTGATGATTCGAATAGCTCTCAATTATTACAAGATCCACTTATTAATGATTCGAACAGCTCTCAATTATTACAAGATCCACTTATTAATGATTCGAACATCTCTCAATTATTACAAGATCCACTTATCAATGATTCGAATAGCTTTAACATTAATAGTAATAATCAAGATGAGAATAAAAACCCTAATATTAATAACGAAAACACGAGTAAAGAGCATCAAGTAGTAAAAGACATTAAGAATTGCAATCAAATAAAAAATGCTGATCAAAGCAATGAAGCAGCTGAAAATATTGATTCAAAAAACTTAAATTCGAAAATACCTTTACAATTTAAGGATTTTATTTTCTGGCCAAAAGAAAATACTTCTAAAAGGACGAAGAGAGCACCCAAAGTAAAAATGCCATCCGTACTATCATCTGAAGAAGGTCTAAAGTGGTATAACGAACAAGAAGAAAAAAAAAGGAAAATTGAAGAGGAGAAAGAACTGAAAAAAAGAATAAGAATTGAAAAAACAAGAATTAAGAAAGAGGAAACAGAAAAAAAGAGACAATTGAAAAAACAGCCAAAGAAGCAAAAAAAAGAATAAACTAATCCAAAGAAAAGTTATAAATAAAAATTTTATTTTTATTTTATGTTTAAATAAAGTCATTTATAAATTTTATTTCTTAAATATATTTTTTTATAATATATTATATATTATATTATATTTTCAAATTTTATATTCTATATTCCATATTCAACTTCTATATTCAAATATACTTATATTATATAAAGCCAATTATAAATTTTTGATTTTTGTTTTATAATACACATTCTAATTCTAATTTGAATTATAAAATTTGAATAAAAAATTATAAAGAAATTTGTAAATTTGTTTATGATACCTATGATGTGATCCTATTATTACACCCAGCTAATCATTTACTTGCAAATTTTGTTTATAATTAACCATCAATCTCATGTAAATTTACAGTCCTGGACAATAAGATTGCAACATATTTTTCAGTGAATTTAATGCGTAAACTCACAAATATGTTATACATAATTAAAATATATAATAATAACATTGTTCTAAATGTTAATACTAACATTAAATTATCATTTATTTAATATTATTTGAGAAAAATTATTATAATGTTAAAAACCATGCGTTCATAAAACTCACTAAAAATAAAGTGTCGCAACCTCATTGTCCACGAGTGTAGTGAAATGAATTAAGAATAGACTCATTAATCGCGGGAATACTAATAAGGGGTACACAAATATACGGACAGGCACAGTAATAGGGGGCACATAAATGTGGACAGCACATAAATTGGGGGGCCCTTAATATGGCCATCGCGCCGTGGAGGGGCACACTAATAGGGACAAAAACATTGTTTTTATTTTTAATAAAATATATTAAAATATTAATATTTTTTACATAAAAAAAATTTCATTAGAAAAAGAAATATTTGAAAAATCGATAGTAACTTTAAACAGACAAATTGAAAGCTATAGTATTTAGTAATTAATTCAGTAATAAACAAATTTTCTTAAAGGCACACTAATAGGGACACTTACCCTAGGCGGAAGGTGCCTGCGGTCCGCGGCGGGCGGAGGTATCTCGCCGCGCATTCAGATTCGACGAGCTTTATATATTAATATCTCGAAAACTATTGCGAAGATCTTTTTGAAGATTTTTTTGTTCAGTTTTGTCCACACTACCTCCCCACAAGCGCTATACCATTGAGTATGAGACACCCTGTATATTTTATTATTCTAAATGTAATACAGAATTAATCGAATCAATAACAAGAAAAAATTTTCAAAATCAAACTCGAATTTAATTTGACGAATGTAAGGATTAATACAACATTTCAACGCACGCATATTATTTCAGGACACAAATGGATTACTTTTTTTTAATCAGTTTTAATCGCATTTTTTCAACAAACGGTCACCCATCGAAGCCACGACTGCCGTCAACGCTGCTTGACTTCTGTGATTGAGAACTGCAGACACTTCGGGATGATCCATGACTACTCGATAATAATAAATACATATCCGTGATGGATAAGATCAATAAAGTTATCAAAAAGATAAAAATATTTTTTTAATAAATGTTTACAATAACATGTATACAATAACATGATAGATAATCGAAATAACGACAGTAAAATACAAATAAGTACAACACCATGTAAAATACTGTATCAAGAGAAGCGATAGCGTTTCATACAAATATATGCAAACAAATTACTACTATACTAATCACAGACAAAATTGGATTTTTATTGCATTCAAGCCGATTTAGTTTATATCCTCAAAATTGGTGAATTTCGAATTACATCGAAGTAGCTAATAAGGGCGATTTCTGGACCAGGAGCTCCGAGGGGTGGTGAGGGGCAGGGTGGTCCGCGGGAAGGGGGAAGCCGCGGGGAGGGGAAAGCCGCTCGGAACGTTCACGGCCTAGGTCCGCGGGGAGAGGGAAGCCGCTGAAAGCCGCTCGGTCAGCTGGCCCGACCGCGGGGACGAGGTCGTGGGTGCGGGATGCGTGGGGAGAGGGGAACCGTGTCGTGGGTCCGCGGGGACGGGGGAACCGCGTCGTAGATGCGCGGGGACGGGGGAACCGCGTCAGTGATGCGGGTGTCGCAGGGAAGAGGGATACCACGTCGGCGATGCGGGTGTCGCGGGGAAGAGGGAACCGCACTCGCGCTCGCCGCAGCCGTCGCCGCTGCCGCCGCCGCCAGTCGCGTCCCTTCCGTTGCGCACGGGCTCCACCGTTCCACCCCGCGCTTATCGCTCGCGGTCCCATCCGTTATCGCACGTACGCGAAGAGAAAGAGGAGAATAAAGAAAATATTATAATTAAAATACTAAAAAATAGTTATTTAAAAATTTATAAATGAATGAAAATAAATGCAATAAATGTTTGAAAAAGTATTTAATGTAATATATGTGATAATGATGTATATGATTTATATTTATATATGATATATAATATATGATAAGTCCGCCAGCCCGTTGCTATCTGCAATAGACAAAAAAGGCATATAATTAAAAAAATGTGTAAAAAGAAGAAAGAAGGAAAATAGCTATGTAAAAAATATTCACGTTAATTGTCGTAACCAACTGTTCTCTCTCGCGGGCTCGCCCCCTCTCGCAGCGAGCTCTCCCGCGATTTCTCTTGCGGGCTCCTCGCGCAGCTGTCCTCCGACGTCTCGCGCGAGTTCACCCTCGGCTGCGGGCTCTCTTGTGCGCTTCTCGGCCTCGGCCTTCCGGTGCATACTTTCCACCCACGCGTCGTCCCTCTCGTCGCTATCCAACATGATACACTCCGAAATTCTCGTGCAAAACAGACAATCTCATTTATGCGTTATGTGTGCAAAGCATAATAAATCATATCCTATTCTGTTGCGGTCGTAACGTAAAAAAGTGTCGTGTCCCATTTCGCGTTCGCGTAGAAGTATTGCCAGCGTTGGTGTGCACTCTGTTAAGGCGATGCTGGAAGGTCGGAAAAATTTGTACGAGGTCGATAAAGCAGACTCTTCAGTGTCAGTGGTATCTCTAAATGAACTTCTTACAATATCTTCTGTCTCGCTCAAACACGTGGAATGTCCTTATCTAACTTATTGAAGTGCCATCTCTTGGAAAATCCGACACTATTGCCAAACGTAATTTTTGCTGTCTTTACCTCAGGCGAGCGTACAAATTA